TGTAATTGTTGAAAATAATTACGAAATTCAGATGTAAAGAGAGATTTTATTCTCACGTGAACGTTGAAAATGGTCAACTATCAGAAAAATACGTTATCTGTGCATAAAAAATGGGAATTTATTAGTAGTAAGTATGTATTTTTCAATGAACTTCAAGTTCGACTTAATTCTACATTTTATTATACGGCTTCCATGATTTATGGCTCGGCCAAGACGCGATCTTTTTGTGTAAGATCGCAACTCTTTAAATTTCTAATTCTAAACTTAATACATTTGATTAGTAATATAGGAATGACAAGTAGCAAAAAGAGAATCACGTTTTTCAAGCGCAATACAAATTTTTATCTAAATAAAAAGAATTAAAAATATTTTTACAAATTAATGTGTGTTCAAAACACATATAAAAAGATAAGATTAATCTAGCTTTAGAGTCTTCAAAGTCTTGCTTTATTTTGTATGTCTATGCGCATTTCTTTTTAAACGAGATGTACAAATATAGACGTAAAGTTGGCGAATGAAAGAGAGGTGCGCCAAAGACTGCAGTACGCTACGCTACTTTATGTGATATTTAGTTCTCCCTTTACAATTTTTTTCCCTGAAGAGAAGTTAATTTCATAAATTTCTTCAAAGGAGATACTATGATCAATTCCTATTTCTTTATGCACGTTTTGTGACTTCACACAGTGTTGTATTAAACTATTAATGTGTAAATATTATAAAAACTAATTGTGTATAGAGACGAGAGAAGAAAGTTTGATTCAAATATAAAAGAATCTTAATATATCGTGAATTGCATTTGTTAAAAATAGATCGAAATATTTCGAACTATGAAACAATATATCATGAATGAAACAGAGTCAATGCTTGTTTGAAGGTCAATAATTAATTATTCTGTGGCCTATATTGTATTAATTAAAGTATAAATGGATTGTAAAAATACATTGAAGTTATTTGTGGAAAAGTTGATATGGCAACAATAAAAATAAGTGCCACTACTTTATTCAAGATTCTTTACGTGATTTCTTTTATTCGATAGAAGTGGAGAACCCTTTAAAACTGCATGTTCCTCATATACATATCTAATTATTTTCATGCAGGAATATTACCTTCTACATTTATCTCTTTGTATTATTTAAATAAAACTGTTTTAAAAGCGTTTCTTGAGTTATAAAGTGAATATGAATTCTATAACATATATTAATTTCTTCGTTGTTTGTTTACTGCACCGAAATATTCTTGTATTTTATCATATCTTTAACATTTTAGACTTCAATTTTTAGCTACTTTTATTCCCAGATCTTTATATTATATTTTTATGAGAACATTTTTTCCTATTCCAATTTTTTTTTATATTAGATTTTTAGGTGCTCTCTGATTTGTGAATAATTTAAACCGCTTTTAGACGATCAATAGCACCTATCGAAATATCGCTTACAGAATCCTTTTTAGAATGCGAAACGAAATCCGCGATTCGGCCCGACTATCAGTTTTACAGATTCGCAGCTGTAAATCTTCGATCTGACCGCGAAAGGGAAATAAGTAGCTTTCCATTATATGGTAGCTAAGGAAGATAAACGGACGGATTATCCTGCTACCTCTTTCGCGATTCTCACATCAGGATAGCGGCCTTTGTCAGAAGACTTATTTGCATTTACATCGTAAATACATCATTGAAAGATTATAAAGGTCGAATTTTTAAAGGAATCCAAGACAATAGAGATAAGAAAATTTTTCAAGCAGATTTTAAAGGACGCTCGTAAATAAAGTTCAAGGGTTTACAAATATAAGATTTTCAGAAAATGCATTCTCTTAAAAAAAGTTTCAAGTGGTATCTCAATTTTCTCACATACAAGATTGTTAATATTCCTGAAACCTTTTAATTCTAACTTCCAACTTTCTTTTCTCCAACTTTCTAAATATTGCGTCATTCTGTTTTGCAACTATATTTTCTCGCTCCAAATTTTAATTTAAAAAATTGAATCTTGTCGACACCGCGCACCGACATGTCAACCACTATATAACGCAATTAATACGCGAACTGAACGTGACGTCTATCAATTATTATCTGGGGATGACAATTAATACCCAGAAATTTCGGTCATAACAGGGATAGATTATTAACAGATGATATAGTTATATCGCAATGACAAGCATGACGAGTTTGGCAATATTGGTTTCACACTACTGGAAATACATTGATACATCGAGTGGCGTTCAATGAAATACCTTTTTAAAAAATCGATAAGATGCAGACTGTTTCAGCAAATTTGCTGATGTATTTAAAATAAAATTTCTCTGACGCTGAAATTATTTTGTCCTTTTGCAAAGAAGGTGAATAACAGGGAATGGAAGAGTTACTATTTTGTTACTTTTTCCGTTACTTTTTATAATAATTTGATAATGATGTTGCAATTTTTTATCACTATAATGATAATTAACTACTAATTAGGACATATGTTAACGTCTATACTGTATAGAGGTATTCGGCGAAAGTCGAAGAGAGTGATATATTAATCTTTGTTAGAATGTAAATATTGATACATGGCTCGTGTTCTGATACGAACTGTACTAACTACAGTTATGTTACGTATAATCTATAGTTTTCAGAATTTATAGTACTGCAGTGTGTACGGCCATAGTTTGTATTCGATTAATAGTCATCTTTGTTAAGGCAGCACTCCATTTTTCATAAAAAATCGGAATGGTATTTATAACATATCAGAATTAATAGGAAGTTTTTGCAATAACGTGAATCCCGATACGGTGAACGCTAAAGTCACGTTATCCTTTTCTTAATTAGTTGTTAAGAAGAAGATAACGTGACCTTAGCGTTCACCGTATCTGGATAAACGGTATTGCAAAAACTCCCTAATAGATCTCACGTTGAATTGATCAATTGATGACACAATTGGATATCACTTCAAAAATATGCCATCAAAATTTGGTATGAAAATAAAAGAGAATTGTAACTTTTATCAGTTTTTTTAGTAACGATAACAAAGTTATTATTTTAAAGCAGTAATAAGTAACGATAAACGAGTTTCAGAAAAAAGAATGTTAACTGCGAGTTACTTTTATAGAATAACTTCTTTATATATTCTCAATCCTGCAAAAGATATACCATAAAATTAATACAAAAATACCATAATGTATCACAAA